AGCGTGGTAAAGTGGATGACCAATGGGATCAGATCAGAGGAGCAATCCACTCCGCTTGTGCATCTGAAGCGGTAACCTGTCCGGGGCATTGGATATCTGATGGGTCAGTAGCACTAACTGAAAAAAAGCGGCAAATCCCGGCCGCTCGGGATCAAAGCAGATGTGGGTGGAGTCCGCAACGTCAGCTCACGAAGAGCCTCACAGACCGTGGAAAATGGTGAGCAGCCATGGGTAGAAAAATGGAAGTACAGGTGCATCAGGCACTACTCAAAGACTGTTCTGATTGAAACGCAACAAGAAGTCGGCGTATCCTAGTTAGTGAATCAATCTGCCACAAAAGTTGACAAGCTATTCACAATAGGGAACAACGGCTTGACTGGTGGACGAAGTACTGAAACGAGCAGTCCATCTGTTGTAGTTGAGGCTCCATGGGCAGTGTTATGTGAACCTCCTACTGAAGAAGTACCATCTTGTATCCAAGCCCGGAAGAACGGGAAAGCAGCAGGACCAGACGGGTTTCCCTTCACTCTTTTCAAGATGGGGGGATGACTTTGTGGACTCCATTACTGATTTAATGCGTAACATCTGGTCGCCAGACCGCATTTCATCATCCTGGAGCGAATCGCTGATCTTTCCGAATTTTAAGAAGGAATCTCACAACGACTGCACATTGCATTGTGGAAAAAGTTTGATTTTGATCGTCACCTCATACTACGACATCTGTCTCTTCAAGGAGACAAATATCCGCGGACAACAAGCAGGATTTCGACCAAGTCGAGGTTGTATCAAACAAATGTTCACCCTGCGTCAAGTCTTCAAATTACGTCATACACAACGTCGACCAACGGTTGTCGTGTTACATGACAAAAAGGAGCATTCGACTCATTAAACCGCGATTATTTTATTGGTTAACTCCTTCGCAAAGGAATGCGAACAAACTGAGGCCACTCTAATCGCATAATTCCGGTATCATAGGGGTCTCCGGAGTAGGTTGTTCGTCAAGGGTGCCATTCCTATTCAATTTCGTCATAGAGGAAATGCTGGAGAACGCATTAAGCGGGCTCCAAAATGTAGGTTTTCAATGGGTAGTTGGGAAAAAGCTGTGCGACCCAGAATAAGCTGATATCGTGTCTATTTGAATATATGGAGGATGCGTAAACCACACCTGACAGATTAGCAGGTTTTTGTTACATTCGGCGTGCGGCTTGCACCTTCAAAGTGCAAAGTGATGCTGTAAGACTGAGTGTCACCTACTCGCATTCTGAAACTAGATGGTTAGGAATTAGCTTAAGTTGACTACTTCTCGTATTTCAGCAACTACTTAACCAGCGACGGTAGAGCATCAAACGAAATAGCAGCCCGTATTTCCATGGCTAGAGCAGCGTACGCAGGATTAAAGCATCTGTCACTATGAACATTATCAAACAGCGAAAGTCGCTGATCGAAGCTAAGCTCATAATGTACACAAATAAAGTTATAAAGTACACGATGATAAGGGATTCGGTCTAACGGGGGGGGGGGGGGGAAAA